ACGAAAAGGCGCGAAAACAAGTCAAAGAGGGGAAGCAGCTGAGGATCACGACCCTAGACGAGTTTTCACGGTCTTAGGACCGATAAGAGCTCCCAGACCGTGAAGCACCAAGGGTCCAGGAGCATTTGCACCTCTTGCGGGCTCCCAGTCAGTTCACGATCGTAAGACCGTGAACCAAATCCCCAGACCGTGAACAGACTAAATTAAACGGCGCGTATCAGTTCGACATCACGGTCCATGATGAATGTTCACGGCCGTGAACTGACCGCGACCTTGGTATAAAAGGAGGGCTAAGCTGAATGAAAAGGGGGAAAGACCTAGGGTGAGAAACTTCTTTTTCTTCAGATTTGTAGAGTGAGAAAGTGACAAACCAAAGAAGAGAAGAAGCTAGGGTTTCATCTTCAAGCAAGGTTTTGGAAATTCCATCCCCAAAGGAGGATCTCTTCAACACAAGGAGCAAGGCTAGCATCTCCATGATGGTTTCCCTTCTTCTCTCGTGTTTTCCCTTCTCCTAGCATGGAGTAGTCACTTATTTCACTTGGGTGTTTGTAAACCCTAGCTACAATTATGTGAATGTTTGTATGGGTTGAATGATTTATGTGTGGATGTGTTTTAATATTAATTTGGAGGTATTTTCATGGAAGATTGTGTTGTGTTTTTGCCTATCAATACATTTGTCATTCTAACCTAGGTAGAGAGAAACCCCCTTTCTTTGAAAAGAGGGTTGTAAAGCTGGATTTTCTTAGGCAAATTTTGTCTTCTATCTAGAGTTGGTTGTAATTTTCCCATCCGAACTCCGATTCGAGGGTGATGTCTTGGCAACCCTTAGTCAATAGGTCAAGAGAGCTACTTTGGTGGCTTGAATCGAATTCCCTTGACCTATTGACCGAGGGAGTGACATTTATTCACTTTTTGCACTTCATTACAGTTTACAAACTCCTTACCACACGTGTTCATTCAATCCGACAAGTCATAATTGCTAGCTAGGGGGAGCAACACCCGGGTGAAGCCTTCTCAATTAGTGTACAATCCATTTACTTTTCCAAACGTTTTAGCTATAGATCGTTGTTTTCGCTAAAAACCAATCGCTAGATAATGTTTCAAACAATTGAAGTAGGGGTACATGGACCGGCCCGGGTTGATATTTAAACATACATTCCCTATATTGCATCCAATTGAGGTTTATACTTGGGCCCTAATTGGGAGTTTTATTGTGATATTCATGGCGAGTCAGCCCGCTCACTATCGCTTCGCCTATTAGCGAGAACATGATATTTTAAAAATTGATAGTTTGAATTTTGACCCAAAACTAAAGAGCTTGTCATTTACATCTCAATTTAGTCAACGTAGCGATAAACTTTAATAAGTGAGAAGGGTCATCGAGAAATATTCACAGGTTTGAGGAGGTTCAACTCACTTTGGCCGGGTCAAATTAGGTTGAACCCATTAGTTTGTAGTAACTCTTATAATTCAAATCGTTATAAATTTGCAAAGAAGATGTGTATTAAGGGCAATGCTTGCAAATCGTACCAAAAGTTACGACGAACAAGTCGACATTATGATATTCTGTGGCATGAATATATAACTGTGGTTCAACCCTTTCATACTGTTAGAATATAATTTTTCTTTAAATAAATATTTTTTTAGAAGGACCACAACAAGAAACTTTACTAATATATATGAGAAATATTTGAATAATATCAAAAACTATAATGAATAATAAATACTAAATAATCATATAATGACATAAATAATCATATATGAATGACTAATCATCAAAATGCCACATTGGAAAATTCATATAATAACATTAGAGTCAGTAGTAGAGTCCGTGTGTAACAAGGTGGGTCCTAGAATCCATATTGACAAAGGAAATTACAATATATTTCTCATATTTTAGTGTACGAAAATTTGACTAATTAAACATAAGTATAGAAGTTAGAGTTTTTAGATTATAATCAAGAAAAAAATTTGTTTATATGGTTAGTATGTTGTTTAATAGATAAAAGGTGTTTCTTATTTCATGTAAGTTTTTTTATAGCTGATGACTTGATATATACACATGTTTTTATCTACCATTCTTATGCCGTTTGAGCCTCATTGCTCATATCTTAGGCCGATTTCATGCTAAGTTTGTCTCGTTTGTGTTATTTCAGGTCCTAGTACGTGATTGGAAGTTTGGGAACGAGTTCGGGGTCGATTGGACGAAAGTTGGACGTTTGGCGAGAAGCTGAGGAATCCACACGGCCAGACCTAGCAGCCACACAGCGTGTGGTGTGGCCGTGTGGAATCCCATTACGCGGGCAAGACACACTGGCCGTGTACTGGGTCCCTTGAGGCCGTGTGGAAATTCTAGGGAGCTCACACGGTTAGGCTGAGAATCCACACGGCCGTGCATTTATGGCCGTGCAGCGTGCATGAAGCTCATTAGATGGAACACCGCGTTTTGGTACTCACACGGGCATATTGGGAAACCACGCGGCCGTGTGGTCGGGAAATTCTGTGTTTTAACCCAATTTCGAGCCTAAGGAGAGAGGATCGAGTTTTTGAGCAGAAAACATAGCTTTAGAGAGAGAAATTGCGAAGAACAAACCCTATGAGTTATTTGGAGTGGATTTCTTACCATTGAAGCCCAGATTGCATCCCGAGGAGTGAAGATCGACATCCCAGAGCAGATTATCCTCATCTTTATGAGTATGACTACTCTTATTTCTGTTTTCCTCTCTCTCTCTCTCTCTCTCTATGGAGTAGAACCCCCTCTCACTTGGGTATGAAGAACCCTAGTTCCATGTGTTAGGAATCTTGATTGTAATGACTTGGGATTGATATACTGCTTGATTTTAATCGATTGATGCATGATTCATTGGATCAATTGAAGTTTGATCATCTTTTCATGATTTCTGCTGCAACCTGAGATAGATAGAATCTGATTAGGTTGTTAGAGCTTCATCAATCGGTAGTGGTAGATTGGTTATACGAGAGTTAATCGATTTACTGCTTTGTACTGGAACCCAATTCCAGTAGTGGAGTTCTGTGCTTATTGCCTCAGCAGTCTATCCCGGTGAAGGCTAGTCGCCTGCCAGTTAGTCTGCCTGAGAGGGCTTGGTCAGCTTAAGAGATTCCAAGCTACTGTCGGATCTTCCGCAGTTTAATCAATAGTTAATCAACCCAGGGTAATTACAACCTCGACCTAACTAAGGAGCTAGGGGGACTCATTCTCGAGTGACTCTTCCCTTGCTAAAGAACTTTGAACCATTTCCTGCTTTCTTACTGCTTTTAGTTAAAATCACAATCACTCGACTTAGTTTGCTAGATAATAGATAGTCACGGAGTAGGTAGTAGATCTAGACCCCGGGTTGGCAAATAGAGCTTGCCACTTACTGCATTTCCGAACTGCAATTGCACTTGGTCGCAATTTGGTGTTGTGTTTTAGCGTGTTAATAGCCAAATTGAAATTCGTTTGCTTCTTACTTACTTTTTTCATTTTGATAACATTAAATCTTTTATAAGGAGGACATAGATTTGATTTTAATATTATGTGTTATTTAAGAAATTCGAACCTGAGATGAAAATGACTTTGTCTAGCGGTAATACCACTAGTCTTGAACTTCGAGGTCCCATGTTCGAATCTCTTAAGCGGTACCTAAATAGCGAACAGTAAACCTATCGAAGGGGTGGGAGCAGTTAGATGGGGAAGTCGAGAAGATATGAGAATTAGGGTTTCCCCTATCCTTCGTTTGATTTATATACGACGTCGTTTTAAGATACGGGGCTGGGACGGGGTGGATACCACGGAGTTCGTCGCCACCCATCACCCGCTATTCACGGATTTCGGGAATTCACAAATCCGCCAAATACCCACGTCGAACGGGTAATTAGGTCACCATCTGGGTGAATTTCGAGTGAGTACCCAGCGGGTCGGTCAGGGTTGACAAGCCTACCAAGGATGGTTGGTAGGGGATGGGCGGGATCCGATTAGCATGTTAGCTGTTAGCACTTAGCCCAATATATGATTTGCGATATCGAAATAGGTCTAGGTTCATTAGGCTTTGAGATCTTGGGCCTGATCCTAGAAGTCCAAAATTCCCGGAGAACTGGTGGCAGACCCGAGTCTGCTTTTTGTTGGGGGCATTGCTATTCGTCGCCCTAAAATATCTTATTAGTCGCCCTAATATTTATTAAAATGACTTAAATGACCTTGATAAAGTCTTTATTTTTCAAAGCCATGTAAATACTAAAACAAACATAGAGAAATATACACAATTAAAAAATATATTATCCAAAAGAAAAAGTCAGTGAATTAGAGGTTAGAACTACATAAAAATGAAGGAAAAATAATAATCAGAAAATGGTTCTTAGAAGTTGGCTGCCGGATCCTTTTGTATAGCATACATGCCTTTTACAGTTTTACCCGCTCCACTTCACACAACGAACAGGTTTAAAACTATCGGCGGGGAGCACAGGACAGGTCAGCATCCCGTCAAAGCTCGCCGGCAACGGGTTTCAACCCGTCCGCTGCAATCATCGGAAGAAAAAAAAAATAGCAGCAGGTCATGCGTGCTGGAGAAACAGGTGCGGATCGTCAGGCTGAGGGAACAGGTTGGGGGAATGGCAGCGACTGCCGGAAATTCGGTTCGGCGGGACGGCACAAGATGTTAGGGATTACGGATTGAAAATGGTCATAGGATATAAAAGTCAATTTAGTAACATTTAGGGTGAATAAATTTAAATTTTCGGGCGACGATTAGCGATTCAGTTTTGTTGGCCATCTCATTCATCCTCGTTTTCTTCGATTCCTGACGACAACCCCTAAACATCAGCAATATCCCAAATGTGGCAGCCTCCGCCGCCCACAAACGAATCAACCTCAAATCTCAATTGTCGTCGCCGGAGCTGTTTCTGCGCCTGAGAAGGTAATAACCTCTCAAATCCCCAATACTCTCTCCGAGTTCATTGCATATATTGCGCTTCGCTTCCCGTCAGATTCTTAGTTTGGGAAAATGCTGCACCGGGCGAGATTTGTTCTAAAGAATTGGCTGCTCCATAGCGATAGTTCCTACTTATCTGGTAGAGTAAACCCTTGTTCGTTGCTTTCCTGTCTGCGGCTATTCTCCAGCGACCCAACTGCTCCAGTCCCTTTCGTTGTGTCTTACCTCATAAACGAATGCGGGGTTCGTCCTGAATCTGCTGCTTCTGCTGGTAAGTACATCCATTTCGAAACCCCAGAGAGAGCTGATGTAGTCCTGGGCTTCTTCAGGAACCTGGGTTTCACGGATTCCCAATTGACTAAGGTTTTCGGTAGGCGCCCCCGGCTCCTAATGTCTGATCCTGAGAAACACTTCATGCCCAGGATTAGGTTTTTGGAATCCAACGGCTTCTCAACCTCCGACATGGCTCAAATCTTGCTTAGAACTCCCGAGATACTTCACGCCAGCATAGAGAACCAGCTGCTCCCTAATCTCAACTTCTTCAAAACTGTCATGCCGTCTGATGAGAACCTTATTCGGGCTATAAGGCGCAACCCGTTCCTTCTAACTTGTGAGCTGGAGACATATGTGATCCCTGGTATCAGGATTCTTAGAGAAAGTGGGGCCGGTGAGTCGAGCATTGTGCGATTACTCTTGTTTCACCCGAGGACTCTCATGACTTCACGGAGTCAACTCTCTCAGGCCATAGAGCGTGTCAAGAAAATGGGGGTGGATCCTAGGTTAACGCAATTCAGTGTAGCTGTTCAGACGATTAGAGGAGTGAGCAAGGGAACTTGGGACAGCAAGATTGATGCTTATAGGAAGTGGGGTTGGTCCAACAAACTGATTCTGAAGGCTTTCACGAAGTCTCCATGGTGTATGGCAATGTCTGTGAAGAAACTTATGGCCAATATGGACTACTACGTTAACAAAATGGGGTTTGATCCTTTGGTTATTGCAGCTCGACCTATATTACTGGCCTTCAGCTTGGATAAGAGGATTATGCCTCGAGATGCTGTTCTGTGTGTCTTGTTGTCAAAAGGGTTGATCGAATCTAGGGCCTCGGTTCAGGCATTGGCAATTACAAATGAGGGGTTCCAGAAGAAGTTTTTGGACCCTTATAAAGAGCAGGCTCCTGAACTGTTACAGTTGTTTCAGGAGAAACTTAGAACTTGTTGAGCAATAGTGGATCGGAGATGGGATAGAGACGAGCATAAAGAAGCCGACTTTACTAGTTTAATGAAGGATGAAGAGAAGAAAATTGTGAAGAAGCTAGCATGAAGCAAATTGGCAGGACATTGTAGCATCTTTGCTGTATTGATTAGTTGCTCTTGCCCAGTCTTTATACAAACTGCAGACTTGGGGCCAACTATTCTGCGAGGTCATTGTCAATTTGGCACGAATTGGCTGCCTCGTTGCATGGTTTTTCTTTTGTATTAGTGGACCACTTCCATAACTGTTCTGTTTGCAGCCTGAACTATTATTTCGGGCTCTTGGCCAGAGCTTTCCATTCTACAAAGATAGAAACTCACTCTTATCCTAACTCAAGCAGTCGCTTTCACCAAGCTTGGCTACTGGCCAGCCCAGCTGTAACTTCTCTTCACAGTTTTGGTTCGTGGTGAACTTTTATCAACTATCGCATCCTTCCCATGATTCTTGTGCAGTAAAAAGTTATGCTCGCCATTTCTTTGGACTTGGGAATGAGTTCGGCATGGGGATGGCTACTGAGATGTGTGAAATGGCAGCACATGTAGTGGTTGTGTTTGTCTTTGAGTTATACCAGGGTGACTTAGTTTAATGGTTCCTCTGCTCACAAAGCCAACAGCTTTGAGTTGCCACTTATCTGCTGCCGCAAAATAGCCTGCCTTCTAGGTTGAATGAATGAATTAAAGCAGAGAAAAGTTGCTAGTAACTAGAGATGAGATGAGATAAGATTATTCTTTATTGTAGTTAATGCCTGGAAATGGTTCAATAAACCAGTGATGACCTTCGACTGAAGTGAACTCTCGTGTTGTAGATCTTGCCTCTCAGTTGATTTACTTTAATGAAGTTCATAAGCATGCTGGTGCTGCAATTGCCCTATACTCTGTTTTAGAAAATGGCAAAGGACTTGATATGCGGCAACACCCGTGACTGCATTCATGGAAATTCTTGGCAGGAATTAAGGTCAAATTGGGCGGTGGCTGTTGCTTTGATTTCATGTGTGTGCAACGTGGATGGTAGGCGAATGCATGTAACTGTGGCATGCGAAGCTAAGTGCGTGTTTAGTTTTGAGCCACTGGCAGTAGCAGAAATAGTGAGATGGCATTTGTTTAAATCCCCGTGAAGGAATTTAACAATACTAAGATGAATAATATTCGGAATGTGAATATATTGGAATTCTCCATTCTTCGGCCTCCAATTTTTTGCTCCGGTGCCTTCTAATAACATTAAAATTCCTATACTAAGTTTTTTTGGTTAATAGAATTTTGGGTATGTCGATGATGACTTGTATGTTACCGTGACTTGGAGAAAATGGTCTACTTCTTTCATATTTCAGTAGTAGATAACTTTTCAAGAAAATGGGGGTTAATTGCAAGGATGGTCACTGGGATTACTAAAACCGTTCATGTTTGGTCACTGCAAATATTTAATTTCATTCATGGTCACTAAAATTAGTTCAATAGTTCAAGTTTGGTCACTCTCCGTTAGTCTCCGTTAGTTTTTGCTGATGTGGAAGTCAACTATTATAGTTGACCGTTAAATGAGTGACGTGGCCATTAAAAAATAATAAAATAATAAAATTTAAACATTTACAATTTCCACCATATTTTACAACTATTAAAAAATAAAAATAAAACTGCCCAAGGTGCTTTGTTGCAGACTTGACAAGAACGCCTTCCATAAACTTATCAAAATCTGACGCGACACACCCTTCTCGTCTAGGACATTCCTATAAACTCATCTAAAAGCTACTATTGCTGATGGCTCAAACACCTACTATTGCAAGTATTTAACCAATAAACACATCTTAAAGTTTACCATTTTTTGCCTCTCCTAAAAAGAAAACAAGAGAAGCGACAATTTTTAGGTTCATCGATTGTTACTGCACTAAACTAACACAAGGTAGTAACGTGGTGAGAGCGAATTAACGCTTTCTTTCCTGTCGGAATATTCAAAATCAAATCGAAAAATTAGGGTTTTTTAATTCATCACATTGCCAACGCCAAATCCAAATCCCCCCCGCTGCTGTTGCTGCCACTGCCCCCCTCTCCGCTGACGTCATCCAATCCCCCCACCACCGTGCGAGTGGCTATCAACATTCATATTCCACAGCTCATCATCCCACAACACCACTTGCTTCTTATTATAATAAATTAATAATAAAAAAATGGAATCGTTTTTTTTTCGAAATTAAAATAAAGAACAGTAGCAATAAAATACAAAAAAAAAAATTGTTATTAATGCTACTCTGCAGCGCATCAGACACCAAAAATAAATGTTCATTTAATTAATGGGTTAAAGACACATTTGGTCACTGAGATTACAAAATCGGGACATGTTTAGTCACTAGAAAAAATTAATATCAAATTTGGTCACTATAATTACTAAAACTGGACCGGCAAGGACCGGTCTAAATCGAAATCGAACAAAGAGGAGAAGGAGGCGGCGGAGAAGGTGTTCTGGTCGCCGGCGCCGCTCACGACGAAATCTTGGGCTGACGTCGAAGACGGGGATGACGACGATTACTACGTGACTACTGCCCCGCTCGCCATGGGCTGCCGCTCCTGGTGCCAAGTCGGAGAAGGAGGCCGGAGAAGATCTCTCCGCCATTATGGGATGGGGAAAACCCTAAATTGGGTTGGGGAGGAAGGGGGAAGAAGGGTTGGGTAGGGTTGGGTCATGGGTTGGGTTGGGTTGGTTTTAATGAGGTGGCGGGTTATAATGACGTGGCGGGTCGGGTTTTATTTTTGTTGGGTTATATCCGGCTGATTAGGCAATTCTGTTTGCCACATCAGCATTTAACGGACTTCATTAACGGAGTTGCACGGAGACTAACGGCGAGTGACTAAATGCGTCCAGTTTTAGTAATTGTAGTGACCAAATTTGATATTAATTTTTTCTAGTGACTAAACATGTCCCGATTTTTTAATCTCAGTGACCAAATGTGTCTTTAACCCTTTAATTAATTTATCTCATCAAAAGGAAAAAAAGAATGAACGAAAAAAGGGATTTTACGAAAAGAAAAAAAATTTGCTGTAACATCCATCCATCCATCGAGGCTTTCCGTCCGCACACACTCTCTCTATCTCTCACTTCCCACTCACACTCTCACTTCCACTGCTACTTCCTCCTCTGCCCTTCTCTTCCACCCCCACCGCCGTCCTCCGCGGCGGAGCCACCCACCCACCGCTCATTTATCACCCCCTTCTCTCCACCACCACAACCCAATGACGCCTCCGCCACCCATTCTCCATTCCCGATCTACACCAATCTTCCTACTCCTCGCCCTTTTAATCCCCGCCGCGGCCTCAATCGACATCGCGTCCGTCCTCTCCCCTTACCCGGACTTCTCCTCCTTCACCGCCCTCCTCTCCTCCACCCCCTCCCTCACCAACGAGATCGCCCACCGCTCCTCCATCACCCTCCTCGCCGTCCCCAACGCCTACTTCTCCTCCTCCGTCGACGTCACGCGCCGCCTCTCCCCCACCGCCCTCGCCGACCTCCTCCGCTACCACATCCTCCTCCAGTTCTTCTCCTGGTCCGACCTCCGCCGCGTGCCCCCCGCGGGGCTCCTCGTTACCACGCTCTACCAGACCACGGGTCGGGCCCCCTCCAATTTCGGGTCGGTCAACGTGACCCGGAACCCGGCCACCAACGCCGTCTCGATTCACTCCCCCGCCGCCTACTCCCCTTCCAACGCCACCGTCCTCTCCCTCGTCAAAACCATCCCTTACAATCTCACAATCGTCTCCGTCAATTCGCTGCTCGTCCCCTACGGCTTCGATCTAATGGCCTCCGAGACCCGCCCGCCATTGGGGCTCAACATCACAAAAGCCCTAATTGACGGCCACAACTTCTTCGTCGCGGCGTCGATGCTGTCGGCATCCGGCGTGGTGGAGGAATTCGAGGCCGACGAGGGCGGGGCAGGGATCACCCTGTTCGTCCCCACCGACGCGGCCTTCGCAGATCTGCCGGGGACCGTGAGCCTGCAGTCGCTGCCGGCGGAGAAGAAGGCGGTGGTGCTGAAATTCCACGTCCTCCACTCCTACTACCCGCTCGGGTCCCTGGAGTCGATCGTGAACCCGGTCCAGCCCACGCTGGCGACCGAGGACATGGGGGCCGGCCGGTACACGCTCAACATTTCCCGGGTCAACGGCTCGGTGGCGATCAATTCGGGGATTGTCCAGGCGTCGGTCACCCAGACCGTGTTCGATCAGAACCCCGTCGCGATTTTCGGGGTCTCCAATGTTCTGCTGCCCAAGGAAATCTTCGGGAAGAATCCGATTTCAATGGGGAGCAAGCCGGGGAAATCAGCCGAACCGCCGAGGGCTTCGTTGTCACCGGAGAAATCCCCCGATACGGAAGCGCAGCCGTCGCACCTGTCGTCCCCGCCGGGTATCAGGGAAGACATTAAATCGGCAGCTGGAGGAGGCGGTGGCGGTGGTGGGTTGCGGATATTATTATCTTCTCTACCACCGTCTTGTACAGTATTATTGTATTTATTGGTATGACTCTTTTTTTTTTCCCTGTATTATTTTTTTTATTTCCTTTTTACCTCTTTTTTCGTTATCAGTGTTTTTTTTTTTTTTTCCTTTCTTCTTTTTCACACAACGGATTGAATTCGGCTACAAAGTAGCCTTTTGCTCCCTCTTTTTTACTAGTCTTACCGTGTTACCACTTCTTTTTGGAATTTTCCCCAGCGGAGGAGAATATTGTAGATGTCAGAGTTGGTGAATTATGAAATGATGTATGTCTGTGTTTACAAATATAATCAATTGAGTTTTAAGTGGGGGAACAGAGGGGAACAGAGCAGAGCACTTTTATAAATTATTGATTTGGGTTTCCCTTTTACCAGTTTCCCCTGATCTGTTCTTCCCCACGTTGCTGCTGTGCTGGTTCCATTGGGTTGATTAAAGTTGTAAAATGCATAATGATGAACAATGACGACAGATATTGGGTCCAAATTGGCTGGCAGCCACTCTTCGTCTTGTCACAGTGTGTAGGTTCTTGGAACTTGGAAAGTTGCAAGACTGAGAGGGACTAAACCCGAAATTGTGTATGGGCCAAATCTGATACATCTGCTGCTTCTCCATTATTGTAATCATCTGCGACAACGAGCAGTGGAGCTAAGGGTTTTGGAATTCGACTTGAACTCATTGATTTCAAGAACAGAGAGGCATCCAGTTGAGCCTGCAATTGCCAGCTTCTTGCTCGGTGAGAAATCCTGAATTGTAAGTGATCCAAACAAACGAGCAATGAGCTTCTCTCCATTGGTACAAACTCTTGTTTCGTAAGTGAATGCAGGGCGAGGGAGAGACTATAGAGCGGCTTGGTGAACAGCAGAACAGGTCTATGGACTTACAGGTTGGTGTAAGGGGATTGTATACAACGGGACAATCCAGAGATTTCTATCAAATCTGAAATATTGTACTAATTGAGATATTCTATAAGTAAATTCATGCGAGCTTGGTTCAAAGCGAACAATATAGTACTAATTGAGCTATCTGGTCTCGACAAGTGGTATCGGAGTCTGGTACAGATGTGGGACGGCGAACATCAGTTTGATTGAACTCATTTGGCGACCTCGGTATTTGAGATATGTATTTGTCAGGCAGATCCAAGGAGATCTGTATCTGGTAAATCTTTGCATCGAGCAAAGTCTACGAGTTTGGTTGATCAAGATAATCGTTGAGGCTGAGTGAAGGAAACGAAATCTGTAGGGCATCCTTGTATATCAGTGTCAACCTAACCCAATTAGTACGATGCCTTTTGCGGTGGATACTCAAACGGGAAATTCGTGCGTGCTTGGTCCAAAGTAGACAATATCATAATAATGTAGCTATTCGGTCTTGACAAGTGGTATTAGAGATTGGTTCGGTATAGATTCGTGACGGTGTACCCTCTCATGTGGTGAACTTGGGTTTTGAGATCTGTGTTTGTTTGGCAGATCAAGTGGTGATATGCGTCTGTTTGGAAGATTAAAAAAGATATGTGTTTGTCTGGCAGATCGAGTGGATATCTGCTTCTGGTAAATCTTTATGTTGAAGAATATCGATACAAGGTGTCCGGCGAATCAAGATAACTCCTGCGAAGAATACATGGAGTTTATGGTCCTTGTTTTTTTTTTTATAAGTGCGATGGAGCTTTATTGAAAACCAAAACAGTACACAACACAGGGACAAGGATCAGAAGGCCTTATCCAATGAAACAGAAAACCAAAGAGAAGGGGGAACGAAGGAAAAACAAAAGTACTGCAAAAAGTCTGTAGTGAGGAAAAAACGGCAACAAGAACATTGCAAGAAAAAGGAGAAAAGAAAAACAACGACATTAAGAAGCACTGCTAAGTGAACCAAGACACCCCTGCAAGTGCAGCGAAACAATAACAACGCATCACAAGAATGGGACAGGGGCACAACTCAAACAAGAACCAAGCCGCAACTCCACGTCATTCTCCAAGGGGAGAGCTTCTTGAAGGGTTAATGGACACATCTTGATCTTCCTCATGATGGATCTGATTGTTTGGACTAGGCAGTGGGTAGTTCTGCTGCATACAAGTAATCCACTCTCTGCTTTGGTCCTCATTCAAGACACCACGGACAGATACCCAATTTAGAAGTGATCTGCAAATGCCGTGAGTAATGACTTGCCAATGCTTGGTTTTGTCATGAAATGTTATGGCATTCCTCTCTCTCCAAATCTCTCAGGAAAAGGCGTGGACAAGTTCGTGAATGAACCATCTTTTCCACAAACAGCCTCTCCCAAAGTTCCATCCTCTGACGACCTCAGCAAAATTATAAGGGAAGGGACCATAGACCTCCAGCATTTGTTGAAGAGAGCTTCAAATCCGTCTACTGAAGGGGCACTCCCAGAACAAGTGATTGAGGTTCTCCTCCGCCGTCAGACATAATGAGCATCCATTTGCCAAACACCAACCTCTGACCTTCAGATTATCTTGCGTGAGGACACGACCGTGCACCAAAAGCCAAAGGAAGACCTTAATCTTCATAGGGACATCGGGTTTCCATATTACTCTGTGAGGGAAGTCTTCAACTCCGGAAAATCTCTCATGGCTGAGAACGTTGTACATGGATTTCATCGTGAAATCACCATTCGAGCTCGGGCTCCATATCAATTTTGCTGGTCCTGCAGAGATGAAACCACAAGGCAACAGAGATAACCTATTAAAAAACTCAATCCTCTCTCTCAGCCCCTCCCCTTAACGAAACAGAAAAATGCAGATCCCACCCCACTCTCTCATTATCAAAGGATATGGCATCGGACACCCAGGCATCATGGCGAGAGGAAGCAGCCGCAACTCTGTGGAAAGCATCTCTAAGAATGGTCTTTGGGATCCAGCAATCGTTCCAGAATGACACCCAAGCTCCTCCGCCTGGTGTGATAGACGCAAAGGTCCAAAAGAGCTCCTAGTCCAATTACTCGGGAATGGACCCTTATATTAATGACCACCTAGTCCAATTAGTACGAGGCTTTTTTTGGGAAGATACCTAAAAGTAAATTATGTGGGCTTGCCCAAAGCAGACAATATCGTACTAATGAGACATTCGATCTTAACACAATCTATTATAGTAACTCTCTTAATAAGTTGAGCTATTGAAACCAACTAGTTCTTGTTTATTTCACTAACCAAGTGACACTCGAAGTTTATGTGTTTGGTTTGCTCGAGATACATCATGTTTGCAAAAATACAAGTTCTCACATTATAATATGCGATGTGGAGCATGATACAACTCGGTAATCTTGAACATGTAAGAAGTCATTGTATTTCATGAACAAGGATTTGGTCTAGCGATAATATCACTATAACAGTTAAAATTGGGATTTTATGTAAAATCGAAATCATAAAATTTTAAGGTCCATATAAAAATGAAGACGGAATAATATTAATAAGAGAATAACACAACAACACATAACAATTATAATGATAATTTCTCAAGGTTAATGTTCCGATTTATCTAGGATAATGTTGGGAAGTGGTGAATCGATGATGATTAATACGTTGATGTGAATTAATGATGGCCAATGATGGTTAGTGTGTTAGAACTAGATGATGTTGGTGAAGGATAAGGAAAATATGCTTAATTTTGCGAATTCTGGGGAAAAAATGCAAAGTTGTCCTAAAGATTTGAATCGTAAAATCGTAAGATTTTAAAGATTTTAAGGATTTAAATCGTGAATAGTGTAGGATTTAAGGTCCATAGATTTTATAGTGAAATCATAATCGGAACAAGTGAAATTGTAAAACCGTATGATTTTATGATTTAAATCGAGATTTTGACTGTTTTAAATACCACTAGTCTTTAATTGGGAGGTATCTAGTTCGAATTTTTTCAGTAACACCTAACTAATAAAATCAACCTTCATATCATTCTTATAAAAAAAAATCATTGTATTTCGTAGGAAAGAAAAGGCCTACACATGATCAGATGTGCCATGAGATCCAAGTAACGACTTTCTTAGGCATAACAATGAGATAGACCATGAATTTACACGTCCATCACTTATGTGAATTGTAACAACTAAACCGTAAGACTATTGTTTTAAATTTTACGTGGAGTGGAAATTTGATGTGGGATTTAGTTCATAATTACACTATATGTAGGAATCGGAGGTCAATTTTATGTTTGCCAGTTCAACAATTTTGTGGAAATTAAACCATCAAAATTGGGCCAGAATTCAACCCACACACCAAAATTGCCTTGAATCAGTTAAGAGTGTGATTAAACCATTAAAATAGTACTATGTGGAAAATTTTATGCTAGGACATTTTGTAGTGAGCTAGATCAGCATCCAAATAGCCTACTCTTTGTAGCAAATGTTGGAGAACTGCAATCATGGGTTGAGAGATGCACAGTGTAATCCATGTGTAACGACAATTTTGGTGTGAAGATGTCTTGTAGAATCCAATAGTTTCAAGGCATACTTCTCCTCGAAAATATGAATGTCACCGTTGTTTCTGGTCGCTTCTAACCTAGACAAATTATTTAGGCATCCTATGATCTTTGATACTAAATGTTGCATCAAAACGAACTTCTCTACGATTTAACTTAGTAATATCATCGTGTTGCCACCAATAGTGGAGATTTTTCCAATAATAGCACCTTTAAAAAAAAAATTACAAAACTAGCACCCTGTCAAAAATATTTACAAAACTAGCACCCTTTTATATTGACCGCACCCTCCAGGTGCGATTTACACATAAACCGCATCCCCCAGGTGCGTTTTACACATAAATCGCACCTTGAGAGTGCGATCTAATTTGGTGGGCCTAAATCGCACCTTGCCCATGCGTTTTCATGTCTGGCCTACATGAAACGCATGGCCGAGGTGCGGTTTAGGCCTGACCTACCTAAACCGCACCTTGGTGATGCGATTTATTTCTCCAAACATGAACCGCATCTGCAAGGTGCGATTTCACCAGGTAGATCGCACCCCCCAGGTGCGGTTTACGTGTCAATTATTTACCGACACCATGCAGAGAATTATGTACGTAGGGTTGCATGGCAGACTAAAACCGCACCCTAGAGGTGCGGTTTTCACAATTTTTTCCCCTATATAAGACTTGCCGGAAAACAGACTCTTCACACCTCTCATTCTCCCTCGCATTCTCTTTCATTTTTCTGTTGTATATCTATATTTATTTAGTGTGTTTGCCATTAAGATTAACTCGTAAGTTTATTTTGTGTTACTTTTTATGCCATTAACTCGTAAGTTTATTTTGTGTTACTTTTTATGCCATTAACATTAACTCGTAACTTTATTTTGTGTGACTTTTTATGCCATTAACATTAACTCGTAACTTTAATTTGTGTTACTTTTTATTGCATTAACATTAACTCGTAAGTTTATTTTGTGTTACTTTTTATTGTTATTTGTGATTTGTGATTTTTATGATATTAACTAAAACTATGGTTTGTTTGTGTGCAGATGGCATTCCGTCAGTTGTTGCTTGGCTTACGGTGGAATGGTTACACGGAAGACACCGGAAAGGGGGCCACCTACGTCGGTGGCAATTTTCAGAAAGTAACGGTCGGTACCAGACCGAAGCTTGAAGACCTCCATCGAATATGCACTGACGTTACTTGCATGGATGGCACGAGGAGGGTAGATCGTATGGTGTACCGATACCCAAACAGAGCAACTGGGTCATTGTGGCATGAGGAATATACCATAACCACTCAAGATGACGTAGATTCCATGCTCGAATTCTTGAGGTCCAACAAATTGGCCAAAGCCGAGATGTTCGTTTACACCGAGCCAGCCGTTAGTGTTGGAGGTCATTCTGGACACGGTCAAACATCTGGTATCCATGGTGGAGGTGAATTATATGACGATCATCCCTACCAAAGTTACCATGATCCTCATTCCTATTTTCAGTACCAAGATGGAGGGCAAGGTGCAGGCCATCATCAATCGTTCTCGTCATATGAAGAAGAAGTTCAACCGGACATCCCCAACCAAGCCCAGTACAACTTCCTGACAGGCAGCGGTAGTTTTCACAACTACCATTATGGAGCTGATGAAGGTGCCTTTCATGAGCAGGATCAGACGGAGGCTGCCACACCAGGACCAGTCAGCGACCC